CAGGGAAATACGAAACGTCGTTTAAGGTTGAGTTATGACACATTGCGGCTGAGTTATGGTACATTACGGCTGATTTATATTATGACTTATTGTAAGTTACGGCTGAGTTGTGGTTTTTTTTGTCATTGTTCACGTACAGGAAAAAAATATCTCTACCTCGGCGATTCCGGCGAAGAACCCTAATTCTCGTCGCTTCTCTCTCTCTCATCTCTTTCGTCCGCTTCGACTCATACCGACGAGTCTCTCTCTCTCTCTCTCGTCGTGATTGCAATCGCCTTTCGTTTCAACTCGGCTGGAGACTTTTCGTTTTCCGACAAAAAAACAAAAGGGAAATACGAAACGTCGTTTTCAACTTTTTGTCTAAGTTATGCCGCATTGTGGCTGGGTTATGCTACATTATAGCTGAGTTATGGTACATTACGGCTGAGTTATGCTACATTACGGCTGAGTTATGATATACTTTATCGAGATTACAAAAAGTGTTTTTCGGGAAAGACCAACAATAATTACGTACACATATTCACTCGCACACGCATAATAAAGTCATCGAGTATTATGTTTTAAAAAAATTATTCAAAATAATTCAAAATTATAAACAAAATATTCAAAATAATTTAAAGTTTTTTGTCTAACTATAGAATAATACGTCACGGCTGAGTTATGCTACATTGCGGCTGAGTTATGCTACATTACGGATGAGTTGTGATATACATTCTCGAGATTACAAAAAGTGGTTTTTGGGAAAGATCAACAATAATTACATACACATATTCACACACATATGCATAATAAAGTCATAGAGTATTATGTTTAAAAAATATATTCAAAATAATTCAAAATTTGAATTCAAATTTTCTAAACAAAATAATTCAAAGTTTTGTGTCTGAATATAGAATAATACGTCACAGCTGAGTTATTTACTTTTCAAGGTTGACTAATGACTAAAACTTTAATTTAAAGGGACACTTGAATGTTAACATTAGCACTGGTTATAATAATGTAGAGATTAAATATATTATAATACAATTAACAAAAATCAATAACAGCTCTTTTACATTCTATATTTGATCAATTGTGTAGGAATAGAACATAAGTATAGCGTTTGGGGTTTATCGTTTTGTTGGATAAGTTTTAAAAGGTACAAACCTGAGCGAATTTCATGATTTTTTTATGGAAAGTTAATAAAAGTGTTAACTACATATTATTAAAGTGTTTTTATTACATGAGTGCATCAAATATTCACATCTACCATATTTGAGGTTTGGCCGAATTATGCCAACGACATGGTTGACTTATTGTAGAATAATTCGAGGTTTGGCCGAGTTATGCCAACGACATAGCTGACTGAACGTAAATAAATTTGTGGTTTGGCTGAGTTATGCCAGCGTCATGGTTGACTTACACAGACCATTTCGAGGTTTGACTGAATTATTGTAACGATAACATGTAGCTCATTGTTACATGATGGCTCAACTCATTCAATCTGTAGTCATCGAGAACCAACTTCACAAGCTTTTCGTGTGTTCTTTCAACATCTATCTGCACAACTCTACACCCTCTATCGTCGGCGTTAAAATACATATTTTTGTTTTTTACCCAATTACTATAAACAACAATTACTAGAACCAGATCCATCAACGAAAATGAAGAACAGAAGTGAAAATGAAGAACATAAGTGAAGTGAAGAACAGAAAATGAAGAACAAAGTGTAAGAAAAAAGCACGAGCTAATGGGGGACCTTTCGTATTTCCCTCGTTTATGCTGACGTGGAATTGTGCATTTGAAGTCGTAAGTCAGCCACCAAACAAATTTTAAACTCAGCCAAAATAAATCAGCCATCAACACAAATTAAATCAGCCACAACATGAAAAATATTTAAGTAATTACTAAAATGTTTTTTAAGATGCCAAATTCAGCCGTAACGTCAATAAGTCAGCCGTAACGTAAAATAAGTCAGCCGTAACTGGAGGCTATATTAGCAATAAATCTTTTGTCTATAAGTCAGCCGTAACATGGTTGAGTTTTCCGTTAATTCAGCCAATTACGACTGAGTTATGTCTCTGAAACATAAGTCAGCCGTAACGACATTTGATAACTCAGCCGTTGTCGATAACTCAGCCAACCGGAGAAAGTTAAGTCAGCCGTGTCGATAACGTAACTCAGCCAAACTTCTGATAACTCAACCATCGGACTATAACTCAGCCGTAACGGCGGCTGAGTTATTAGCCGTTTTCTCATAACTCAACCAGATTTTTATATGTCAGTCGTAACTGTTGGCTGAGTTATGATTGTAAGTCAACCGTTGACCCGAAAATCAGCCGTTGTCCCAGAACTCAGCCATAACGTGATATAACTTAGCCGTAACGTACACTATGGCTGAGTTATTGGTGGCACGCGCCTTTTTGTCTGACGTGGCAGTGGCATTTTTTGTAATAGTTTTTCCCGGTAACGTGTAAAAAGGGCACGCTAGTAATTAAAAAACATTTAAGGATAAAAAAAAGTTTTGGATGGTTTCCGTCAATACACCTAAAATGTAGTCCATCTAAGTAATTCTTTCTATATTTCCCTGTGTTTTGGCCTCACTCACTTCCCAAAAGGTCACCCGTCCTTTGACTACTCTCTCATAAGTACGCTTAACTTTGGAATTCTCGCAGGACCGTGGACCGAATAGATAAGTGCACTTTAGTGACATAGGTGGCCAAATCAATTCATTTAAACCGCTCCGCAACCAGGGTCTCATATTAACTCATCTAACTTTTTTTTATTTGGCATAAGATCTAATGAGGGACACATCCAAATAAAAAGTGATTAATATTATAAAAGGTTGTAAAAAATCAGTGACTAAAATTGAATTAGTTTAAAATTCTAAAATCAAAACAACCCTAATTAGGGGATTATAATTCAATGTTTCTCATTAACAAATACAATCGCTTAGCAATATTACGTTTTCGAAACCTCATTTTTATGTGTGGCAATGTGCGGGTCAATTTTTATTAAGTAATTTAGAAATTTTATATTATCAAAGATATTTTTTAATAAATATTTTACTAAAATGAGTTTTCCACGATATCACTGGGGCTCTAATAGCTAGTATTTATTATAAGTGCCAAGATCAACTCCACTGAGCGTTGCTAATAGGGTTGCTACTGATTTTATGGCAAAAAAATACTTCAAAAAAAAAAAATTAAATCCAATATTATGAGAAGCGTTTCTAGAATAAGGGACAGAAGAAAAAATAAGGAATGATACATTTCTTTATTTGATTGTGTGAGAAAAAAATATAAAAGGAAAAAAAAATATTCCTTAATTTTGTTTCGCTTCTCTCGCCTCTCATCTCCCTCTGTCTTATTCTCCAAGGGCGACGTCGAGCAATCGGGGATTTGTTTATTGATTCAATGATGCGCAAATCAGGTTTTCCATGATAAGAATCGCTCTAATTTCTTTTGTAATTGGGGATTGATATTAGCAAAATTAGGGTTCACAGGATTGGGATTGATGTTAGAAAAATTTAGGGTTCTATGTTGTTTCATCTTTTGTTTCAGTTAGATGCTCTTTTGTTTATGTTCTTCATCAAGTTTTATGTTCTGTTTTCAATGAATCAGTTTGTGTTTTGGTCTTGTTCAATGATTCTGATGAATCAGATTGTGTTTTAGTTGTGTTCAATGTTTCTGATTAATCAATTTGTGGTTTATGTCTTTTTCTGTTCAATTGTGTTATAATGAATCGCTTGTGTTATCTGTTATGTGTTCTTGTTCAATTATTTTGTGTCTTGTTCTGTTTAATTCTGGATTCATTATAACCAACAAAGTCCAGCAATGAATCAGTTAGAGGGTGTTATTGAATGGAGAATTTTAAGGGATTTTAATTACCGGTGGATTTTAAAGTTCAATAGCCTTTAAATACAATTAAGATGGATTTGGTCTGAAAAGATGAAATACTTTGAAAAATGTTAGGATTGTGTTTGTACGTGTTTTAGATGTAAAATACATTAAAATCTTAAATGAAACAAAATCCATTGAAAATTGAATAACGCTTATTTTAAAGTACTTTAAAATACTTTAAAATACATCCAACAAATATTAAATCCAATAACAACAGATTTTATTGTGGTTTTTAAAATACATCATTAAATAACGCTAGATTTTGAAATACATCCAAATCAATTAAAATACAAGGTTGAATAACACCCCCTTAGTTTGGGGACTCTTTTTCAAAGTAGTTCCAAAAGTAAGAGTTACATAAGATTATGGTGTATGTATTCTTGGAATGTTGGCTGGTTTTAGGAACAATAGAGCTTCCTAACCAAATTAGCACCGCTTCCGGCAAAATCTGGCTACTCGGCACTCACACTAACCTCACCGAGCAGCCCCACCTGATGCGCCTGCGATCCACCGAAAACATTAGCCGTTGTACTCTGATCCACGCTCTCCGAGGTAGCAACTTGGCATCTCCCCTGACCACATCCGCGACCCCGACCAGGACCCCGCTCACCAGCACCTCTACCTCTAACCATTTGCACTAACACTATAAAGACTAAGAACACATGGAAAAACAATTTTTTCCACACAACAGTTACCGTGGAATCTCTTTGAAGGCTCATATGGGATGATCTAGACCCCATGCTCAATCAATTGACTAACTATTTATAATTAGTTAATTAGCATACAATAGTCAGTTAAACATGGTCAATCGATTGACTAACTAATCATAATTAATTTATTACATACATAGCACACATGATCTAGCAATGCTCAATCACACAACATGGAATTCAATTTAACCTCACAACATAGAATTCAATTAAATTTTAGTATCGTAGGGAATCACATTGACCATCTTTAAAGAACGCAACGTCCTTGTTGCATACCAAGACTACCACCCCCAGTCGTTTCTAACTTTTTAATTAATCAATATTAACCCCATAATTAATATCTAACCAATGAATCAAACCAAACTGGCAATAACCAGCAGAAAACAAACAAAAAATCCAAAACCAACACTTACAAAAATAATTAATCAATTATTCAACAACCAGTGAATAACAAAAACCAACAACCGTAGCATGCTTCTAATTCTATTGTTCGACAACAATTAAATAAGACAATAACACATCCAATGAATCTAATTCATGCGATCATCCTCGACTTTGATTCCACGATCACACTTTATTTTTAAATGCTTCACAAAATGAGATGTGTGAATATTATCACAAATACTCTATGAAGCTGTCATCCCATCTATTGGGTTATACACATAGGCATAATATACCAACTTGGTGTCGACCGATAGAGGCATCAGTTTGTTGTTGACCTTCCACCATCTTTAACAGAGGGAGTTGAACACCATTTCTAGTCATGATGTAGCTCTCTCCAAGCATGCTCAAGAGTTAACATTGTTTCGTGACAGCTTTAATGACATCATTCTCATTTAACTGAACTAATCCTGACAACCCATTAATACCAGGATATACATGGATCTTTTTGACATACATAATCTATATAACTGGATGTGTTCAAAGAGATAGACAAATTTTGATGGACCAGAACCGACGGACTAGTTTCAATGGACCAAAATTTTCCATTTTGAATAATCTTGTCCACCATGCAAATTCTTTTTGAAGTCACAAGTGATTGACCAGATCATGAAATGAATGATGTGTCTATAGTTTATGTAACAAAAAAACTATATATATAACCAAAAAATGACCATCCATTTAACATCAACTATATGTTTAACCATAATTGGATATTTTATAGCATAATTATATATTTAAACTATATTAAAATGGATCTTAAAATGTATACAAAAAAATAATTATAATATATTATGTTAAAAGAATTAATATTTTTTGTGGAAATAATTTACATAATTTGATTTTAAAAAGAAAAGAGTAGGAAAGAGAAAAATAAAAAGAAAAGGAAAATAGTATTGAAAAAAAAACTAAATCAAAACGTGAATGCAAAAATAAGAAAGAAGGAAGATGTGGATGATAGTTCTGTCTTTTTTTTTTACTACAATGTAAAAGTAACCCCAAAAACGGTGTCTAAACATAAAAGAGTGTTAAAGTGAAAGGTAAGTCACATATATGGTTCGAGTAGCGCTTGAGACGACACCATATAACATGCTCTGGTTTCGAGCCTGAGGGGATGTATGGGTTTCGACCGAGAAACTCTTTAATTATTCAAAAAAAAAGTCACATAAACGGTGCTAGTATAAAACTCATCATTAACTTTCTGTCAAAATGCTCAAAACGTCGTTTGGCTTTTGGAAATAGTTATGGAGTACTGCTGAACTAATCATGACAACTCATTAATACCAAGACATACATGGATCTTTTTGACATACATAATCTATATAAATGGATGTGTTCAAAGAGATGGACAAATTTCGATGACCAGATCGGACGGATTAGTTTCAATGGACCAAAATTTTCCGTTTTGAATAACTAATCTTGTCCATCATGCATTCTAACACCCTTTTCAACCAAGACACCCTTTTCTCTTATGTATTGTCTATTTTACCATTTTACTAAACTCCTTCTTCCTAACCAAACTCTTTTACTCTAGACATTTTCAAACAGATTTTAATTCATTACGCTTTCAATTTCTTTTTTCATATTTAATTTATTAATAAAAATAGTTTCTTAAAAAAAGAAAAAAAACTTAACCCAAAAAAAGAAAATTTTAGGTCAAGAAATATAACGTACCGGAGTTGGAACATGGTTCATTCTCTTCATTTTATTAGGGTTGTAAGTTCAGACAAAGCACCTTTCTTCTCCAACATAGTCGTTGAAATCGTCAATCCAACCTTGCATTGAAGTGTTGCTTTGTGGACAAACCTTAGCAAACATAGCTTTTGTGTACATATTATCATGGACTTCAGTTTTGTAGATTGCTTTTCCTATATCCACATCATCAATTTTTTTATTAAAGTTTCCACCATAATGTTACATTGCTAACACTTTTTCTTCTTCAACTCACCCATCGTATCTATAAAAATATGTCCACGATTATTTATCCATATGAAAGCGAATATATGTTTAACCATAATTGGATATGTATAATATAATTACATATTTAAAACTATATTAATTTGGATCTTAAAACATAAATAAAAATAGTTATAATATATTGTGGAAAACAATGACATATTATTTGGAATTTTTTAAAATAATTTGATCTTTAAACAAAAAGAAGAGGAAAAAGAAGTACGACATTCACATGGGCAATGCTTTGTGGATGAGCTATTCTCGACGATGGAAGTCGTTCTATTTTCTTCTTTCTTTAACTATGTATGATTTGTTTTACACTCACAAACAAGAGATTTGATTTATGCTCCAACCACCAATTGAAGCCAACCACCAATTGAAGCCAACCAACAATATATGGTACTTGTTTGAAATACTAAGAGATTATAACAGGGCTTTGTAAACACATGATTATAGTTAGCAAACAAATCTATGTCTACAAAATTCAAAAAGATAATTTTTCTCGTGTGAGAACAACACTCATATGTGTAACGTGTGAACAAGCTTAAAAAAGTAATCGAACAACAATATTTTTATAATTTTTGTTTAGTGTTTAATTTTAAAGTTCAATGTGTACAGTTAGGTATAAAAATCATGTATATTTTTTGTTTGGTAATGTTACAAAAAACTATATATATATAACCACAAATGACCATCCATTTAACATCAACTATATGTTTAACTATAATTGGATATTGTATAGCATAATTATATATTTAAACTATATTAAAATGGATTTTAAAACGTAAAGAAAAAATAATTATAATATATTATGTTAAAAGAATTAGATTTTTTGTGGAAATAATTTATATAATTTGATTTTAAAAAGAAAAGAGGAGGAAAGAGAAATATAAAAAGAAAAGGAAAAATAGTATTAAAAAAAAACTGAATCAAAACGTGAATGCAAAAGTAAGAAAGGAGGAAGAAGTGGAGGATAGTTCTGTCTTTTTTTTACTACAATGTAAAAGTAACCCCAAAATCGGTGTCTAAATATAAAACGGTGCTAAAGTGAAAGGTAAGTCACATAAACGGTGCTAGGATAAAGAGAATGTTGTATTGTAGCACCGTTTGTGTGTTACATCTCACGGGTTAACACACTTCTATGTTTATGCAGTTTCAGCAGATGGTGTTGGATGACTTGAAGGTATGCGCATCTTACAGTAAATGTTGGAGAGCAAGAGAGAGAGCACAAGATGATGTTTTCGGGACAGAGGAGGAATCTTATGAAAGGCTGGCTGAATATCTCCACGCACTTAAACTTGCTAATCCTGGAACAGTTACAAATATTAAAACAGAGGTTGATGATGGTGGTAGGGAGAGGTTCTTGTATATGTTTTTGTCATTTGGTGCTTCAATTAAGGGATTTAGGTATCTGAGGAGGGTGTTAGTTGTGGATGGCACTCACCTCACGGGAAAATATAAAGGAGTTTTGTTGACAGCTAGTGGGCAAGATGCTAACTTCCAAGTGTTTCCGCTGGCTTTCTCAGTTGTGGATAGCGAGAATGATGAAGCATGGACGTGGTTTTTTGAAAAATTGGAGCGGATCATTGCAGACAGCAACACGTTGACAATAATATCAGATCGTAACCAGTCTATTTACAAGGCAAAAAAGAGTGTGTTCCCACTAGCGAAGCATGCAGCTTGCATCGTTCACTTGGCTAGAAATGTGAATGCTAAATTCCAGAACAAAGGTTTGGCGAAGATGGTTTCAAACGCTGGATATGCGTATACCATAGGCTCATTTCAGACTCAGTAAAATCAGATAAGGGAAAAGAATCTTGAATGCGCCAAGTACCTAGACAAAATCGGAACTGCTCATTGGTCACGTGCGTATTTTCAAGGTGAGCGGTACACTATAATGACAAGCAACATAGCAGAGAGCTTGAACAGAGCGTTGTGGGAGGGTAGGGGCTCGCCTATAGTTGAGTTGCTGAAGTTCATTCGTGCTATGCTTACCCGCTGGTTTAGTGCACGGAGGACGAAAGAGGGGAAACACATGGGGTTTGTGACACCCGAGGTAGATAAGCAAATGAAGAAAAGGATGACAAATGTTAAGGGCAGCAAAGTTGGGATGATAACCAGTTGGATTTTTGAAATAGTTGGTATGTTGAACGGTAAACATAATGTACTGCTCGATCACAAGAGATGCACATGCAAACAATATGACAAGGACAAGATTCCTTGTGGTCATGCAATGTTCGCTGCAAACACACATGGGATTCCGCTTGACACACTCGTGGGTGACTTTTACAAGACCTCAGCATGGAAAGCTTCATACGAAGGCATAATAAATCCAGAGGTAAATGCAGAAAACATTGAGATGGCCGATGAGATTGTTTACAAAGTGCTGAATCCACCAAATACTCGAAGGCCTTCCGGAAGGCCAAAAGTGGCAAGAATACCATCAGTTGGCGAGTATCCAGTAAGTATAATTTGTTTGTGGGTTATTGAAGAAGAAGTTAGGGTTAATGATCCCCTAATTGTTTGTTTCGTTTCATGTAGAAACACTCTTCAGGGACAGCTAAACTGCAACGGTGTTCAAGGTGCAAAGGGACCGGGCACAACAGGACTAGCTGTACCAATCCTATATAAGTGGGATGTGGTGTTGATGGCCTTCGTATCTAGTTGGGTATAATTTTTTGTGGATATGATGGCTGTTAGGTTTTATTTCTGGTTTGTGGTTAATTATCTAAAACCAAAGAAGGAGTTGGTGAGTAATTTTTTGGTAACACCAACCCCGTATTAGTTGTAACGGATTATTAACGATTGATTCGGGTAAAAAAATTTTTGGGATATATTGTAGACTGTATATGTGATCTACAACAAGATTTTAACCACTTCCTATTTTTCCGATGTTACATACAGTATTAAAACAGGAATATTTGTAGTGTAGCTACATTTAATGTTACAGAATTCAGAGAAATTTGACAAAGGACGAGAAATAATTAGAGATTATTATCAAATGTATCCATATAGATGATGTATAAAATGCATGTATCCATATGAATGAAGTTTATGTTGATGGACTTGTATCCATATGGTCGTGTACATAGGATTCTGTTTACGGTCACGTGTTGGAAACAAAAAAAAAACTCGCTGGGACGTATTATCCGAAAATATAAATTTGTTTGTTTAGCAGTTTTGTTAGTTTGCGATCTATCCAGATGGATTCGTAAATTAGGTCGAAGGTAATTTTCGTTTAAATGTAAAATTTGGTAACTATGTGGGAAATATGTGCAGCTGTTGATATCCATATGGTGTGTGAACATAAAACCAATGCATTGGAAAACGGGACATAAAAGGGCCTAAAAATCCACACAACTATACGATGGGTAAGGCAGTGACTCTATAATAGTTTTCTGATAAGCAAATATTGGAGGGCCTCTTATGCAGAAACAAAAGGAAACAATGAAAGGAAATCTCATAAAATTAGAGCTCGGAGATGAACGATATATTTGAGAAGGAGGAGGCTGCGAACTCAGATCCGGCGGGACGTCAGATTGATGGCAGGATGAGTGCTCTTACTCATGAGATAGGAGGATGGAAAGATGTGATGGTTTCAAATTTTAGCCAAGTAATGGTGGTATGTGATAAATGTATTGTTTGTGTATATATGAGATTTTATTCCTGTTTCTGTAACATTTACTAAGTATCTGGTGAATTACAGAACCCGGAAAGCAGTGTAGGAGATAGTGGTGAAGAATCGTACGACGGTGTCGCTGAATATCTACATGCACTTAAGCTTGCAAATCCAGGGACAGTGACAGATATTAAAACAGAAGTTAGAGATGATGGTACTGAGAGGTTCTTGTATATGTTTCTGGCATTGGGTGGTTCAATCCAGGGATTTAGCCATTTGAGGTTGGTGTTAGTTGTTGATGGAACGCCACTAACTGAAAAATGTTAGTTGGTGAGTAACTGCAATGTTAGTGGGTATAGCAAGATAATAACTTAAGAGGTTATTGCTAGGTTGTTTGTGAATGATATCCGAAAGGATCCAAAACTGATGCCTAAAAGAATTCAAGAGGAGATCCAAAAACGTTGGATCTTCATTGCTTCAAGTGATCAATGTAGGAAGGCAAAGGGAAGAGCATTGAAGATGATCCAAAAAGAGCATGATGAACAATTCTCAAGACTTAAAGATTACCGCCTTGAGCTATTAGAGTAAGATCATTGTTCTTTGGTTATTTTGTGTGATATGGCGATGAAATTTTTTTGTAATATGCGTTTGGTTAAAATTTCTTTTTATGTTGTCTAGTTCAAATGAAGGATCAACTGTGGAGGTAGAGACATTTGAGGTAGACGGTGGACTAGATGTCTTCTACAGATTCTATGTCTATTTTGGTAGGATTAAGGAAGCATGGTGTAAGTACTCTCGGCCAATATTTGGTGTCGATGGCTGCTTTCTCAAGTACTACACACAAGGTCAGTTGTTGGTTGCAGTTGGAAGAGATTTATCCCTTTGCATGGGCTATTGTGAACAAAGAGACTGAAGACAACTGGTTATGGTTCATTGGAAAGCTGCAGGGTGATTTGAATCTGAGAGATGGTTCTGGTTTAACTATCAGTTCAGATAGACAGAAGGTAAGTATTTCACATAGACTTGTAGGGTTAATTGAAATCTGTTTATTAGATGAGGTCATAACTGATTCTTTGATGGTTGCACAATTTATTGAATGCTTTTTCTCAGCTACTACCACAGATTGAGCATCGTATGTGCGCAAGACACATATATGCTAACCTAAAGAAGAATCAGCCAAATAGGGCTGACATGAAGGGTTTGTTCTGGGCTGTTGCTAAGAGTTACAACAGTGCACAATATAGCAAACGTTTTAAGAAGCTGAAGATGTATGACATGGGTGTCTATGAGTCACTGATGCAAAAGAATCCTCATAATTGTAGCCTTGCCTATTTCAGCTCAACATCGTCGTGTGATGATGTAAGTAATAATATCAATGAGTTATTTAACAATGCTATCAACTCTAAAAGGAAGATGCCATTGGTGGAAATGCTTAAAACTATTCGGAGAAGAGCAATGGTGCGTATAGAGATTAGAAGGAACAAGGCACATAAACACAAAGGAAAATATAGCATAAAGGCGATGAAGAAGTTACAACTAGAGCAGAAAAAGATCTTAAACTGTACTCCCATTCCTGCTGGTCCAGTTGAGTATGAGGTCCAAGAGAAGAGTACATCATATAAGGTACATTTGGCCATGCATTCTTGTACATGTAGGAAATGGCAGATGTCAGGCATTCCTTGTCGCCATGCTTTAAAGGTGATTTCAGCCAAAAAAAAATAAACAGGAGGACTATATATCATCTTGGTATCTAACTTCTAGGTGGAGGAATGAATACAATGCATATATAGGTGCAGTTAGAGGATCCAACTTCTGGAGGAAATCCGGTGAGACTGAAATCTTGCAACCACCAAAACCAGTGACCACAGGTAGAAATAAAGTCCAGAAAAGAATCAAAGAGAGGAATGAGTCACCACAGAAGAAGAAGACCAAGTCAAAAGAGCTTAAAGTGAGTAGAGAAAGGAGGATCATTCATTGTGGAAGATGTGGTGATTCTAGCCATAACACAAGGAGCTGCAAGAAAATTGGACATGTGGTTCATAGAGCTCAAAAGAAGAGTAAAAAGACCACAATAGAGGAGGTGGGCATTGGATCAAGTCAGCCAACTCAAAGCCAAAACACAACTAAAGAGAATGAGAAGAGGCTGGTCAAAATTCTCATAATATAACCTAGGGTTTCTCCCAAACTTAAATTAAACTGATCGATTACAGAATTGAACCGGTTAACCCCCCCCCCCCCCAAACACTGGTTACCCCCCAAAAATCGTTAACGGATGTTACAAATATATTGAGTAGGTAATCGCCCGTATGAAATATTGTAGGTGTTTTCGTAGGAACGCGGGAGGGCATTTTTGTTACATTTCCTACCAAAATGACGTAGGAAACGCGTTCCCTCGAGTTTCCTACCAACTAGTTCCCTTCTATTTTCCTACAAAGTATATATTCATTCTAGTTACCTACCAACTTTTTCACTCTATTTTCCAACAAAATTTTTGTTGACAATTGCTACAAAAAGAGATCACACTTCTATTCCTACGACGTGTATGGTAGGAAATACAAAAAATCTGTAAGTTCGGAAATTCAGTTTAAATCGATTTTAAATTAAAAACTGATAATTTTTCAGGAAAAATTGAAAACACATATAATCTATAAATCCAAAAAGATATGAAATACAAACAATTTATAAATCCACACAGCAGTTTAAACCAACAACCTAAAAATGTTAAAATTTTTTTAATACAAACAGAAATCTATCACAAGTGAGGACCCACCGGTGGTCGCAAGTGAGGAAACCGCTGGAGGAGGAGCTTGTTGCATTCCATGAGGAAACCGAATTTCGCATGTGTATCGGGAGGCTAACCGCCTAGCGGATGGTTTAGCTAACCATGCTTTCTCTTTATCATTAGGTTTTCATATTTTTGATTTTGCACCAGTGGAGTTAGCTCCGATCTTTAGAGATGATGAACTTGGGTCTGCGTATTCGAGACAAGTTGTAGCGTAATTTTTTTTTATAATAAACACTGGGAGATAGTTTTCTCCCGGTTTCTTACCATAAAAAACATATGTGGAATAGGACGAAGAAGAAGAGATTAGGGCGATGACAAAAGAAAGGAGAGGGTGAGAAAAGAATAGGAGGAATCGATCTTAAGAAGGCTAGCTCCGCTGGTAAAGAGAAGGCTCGATCCGCCGGTGAACAGAAGGCTAGCTACGCCGGTGTAGCAAGGCGCGGCAAAATCGTTGGTGAGTAGGAGAAATCGTCGATGGTTTCAATGTTGAGTGAGTATAGAAGAGAGTTGAACGGCGGTGTGGGAGATGATGTTATTTTTGTTAATGGATCAATATATGACCCATTAAGTTATTTTCTGGCCCAGTTTTTATAATTTTTTAAACCAGTATTTTGTGTGAAATGCCTAAATTAAAATGTTGAATTAATGAAATAATAATTGTTTTGTAAAACAATAATTTTAAAAATTGAAAATGTAATATAAGTTTACTGTAAATGTGTGGATTAGGAATGAAAATTAAGATTATAATAGTTTTAGAAAATAATGTTTTCTAAAATTGAAAATTAAATATAATTTTCCTGTAAATGTGTGGGGTTATGAATGAAAAGTAAGATTATAATAGTTTTAGAAAACAATGTTTTTTAATATTTAAAATTTAATATAATTTTACTGTAAGTGTGTGGGATCATGAATGAAAATTATGATTATCGATTTTAAAAATTGAAAACGATTTAGGAATTGATTTTAACAACAATATATATTTATTATTCCGACTCAGAGTCTCACCTGAAGATGCAGAATTTGACCTTTTTCAAACTCTCCAAGCTCTTCTTCTAAAACAGCTTAAATATCATCGCTTATAGTCTCTTCATCTAAGAAAAAACGGCCTATTCCCCCATGAACTTAGTTGCTCTATTGCAAACATACACCAAACTTTCAGCTGTGCCTATTTCCCCATTAACTAAGCTAAAATTTGAATTTCATACATCATTTTTACCTATCCGGTTA